TAAAAGGAGAACAACTTGAGTAGAAATATTAAGGAAATATTGTTCATAAAAGAATTTAAAAAATCAAAATTAGTACTGAACTTATACAAGAATTAGAAGATCAAAAATTAAGATATCAGTTTCTCTTATCATTAGCCTCTGGCAGATCCCTAGAAAATTACAGTTTAAAATTTCTCAAATAAATAAACAGCTAACTATAAAACAAGAAGCCTTAAAGCTAGCCATACAACAGCTTGAAGACCTATTAGCATAACTGTAGAATTAATTAGATAATTCTCAGCCCAATTTCAAAATAGCAGTAGACCACTAACTCATCACTCCCAAAAATTAGCATCAGAGCAGTGTTCGGTTTTAGGACATTTTAAGTTAGTTTATGCATTTTGCTTATGGAAATAGAGTAGTTTTTATTTTTGGACATTTTAGTTATAAACTTCATATTATAGTAGCTTTTAATAATTTTAAAGTAGGATTTAATTTTGTTTATGAAAAAAGTAGAGTATCTAGATTTAGAACTCAGCAGCCATAACTTTCGCATTAACATAGATAAAAATAAATTTTGTTGTAATTTTAAAGATACTTTTACATATCAGCTTCATAGTGAACATAATCTTCAGTTAAATAGTATCATAGATTATCAGATTAATTTTGTAGAAAATATTAAAAAGGACATAGATAAAATTAGTAACCTTTTTATTTCATCTATAGATCATCTCTGTAATAATCGTAGTATAATTAAAGATCAAGATAAAAAATTAGATTATATCTAAGACCAGTGTAGTTCAATTTTACAAAAACGAACAGATTTAAATTTAGAACAATTTCCCACAAAGCTAGAATTAGAAACTTTAATTTCAGCTATAAATACTAGCAGCTCAAAACAAACAGAGTTAGAATTTAGACAATTAATTGAACAAACTCATAGCCAGATAAATCAAATAACTAAACAAATAAAACAAATTAATCAAATTCAAGATAATTTAAAACAAAAATTAGAAATCTTAGAACAATTAATAAGATCTTAGTTTATGAGCAATGATAAAAAAGCTAATAGAGATTACCAGACTATTTTAAAACAAGCAGAAGATTTTCATAATAACCCAGAAGGAATCAGTAGCTATCAAGGAATAAATCAGTCAGATAAAATACCAGTAAGACAAAATAATATAGAAATTTTATTTCTAATCAGATTGTGTGAAAAATTTGAAGAATTATCAGAACAATTACACAGTTTAGAAAACCGTTTAGCTTCTCTAGAAAGAATAATACTTCAAAAAGGAAAAGGTATAGAAGGACAAGCAAACATACCCCAATCTCAGGTAAACGAAGAAGATATAGCTAGATATTTTGAAAAGCTTAAATTACCAAAGAAACCTGTTTGTAGAACTTACAGAAAATAAAGATGTTTAAACAGCTAGTAAAAAGAAGTAGTAGTAAAAAGCGTAATGAAGATGAAGATATTAAAATAGAAGAATTTATAGATGTAGAACAACAAATAGAAAAATTTAAGAAAGCGAAATTAGAATTAATTCCAACTAAATATGTATATAAGCTAGGTAAGGTTCATAAAAAACAATATCTATTTAAACACTATGGTGAACAAATGATTAGTGTAACCCATGAAAATGAAAAAATATAGCTAAATTTAATAGACAGAGAGAGCTATAAATATGCAGTAAATGAACACCTTAAAATGACTCGCTTAGGATTAGTTGTGGTAGGAATTAAGGCATTAACCAGAGAAAATTTAGGAACTAAAGTTTTTGTATGTCTTTATGATGATAGGTTTAATGATGTAAGACAAAGTATTTTAGGCAGCTATGAATTAGATATGAATTCAAAAGGAGGAATAGTTTATTTTACACCAGATTTCTTACTACCAACCTCGACTTTTCATAAAAAGATAAAAATAGGAATAAAAAGTAGAGGATATAAAATGAAAAAAGGAGAAAAGAATTTATTAGTTTGCACATGATTTTTAGGATTAGCAGTCTCAGAAAGCAACACTCATTATAGACTTACGAATGATCAAGCAGTTAAGTTATTAGGCGCAAAAGGAATAAAAGCACTACCAGCTAAAAAAATTAGTTCGGAAGATAATGCAGCATTAGATTGGAATTTAGGAGATTTTCTAGGACAAAAGAGATTAGCCCCTCAAGATAATTTATTATATCAAAGAGCAGATGAAAATTATGCAGTAAGATTCACTCAATATACGTATGTAGCACCAGAAAAATCTGAAGATGATGAATTTAGCAGTATAGATAGGGAAGAAAATCAAGATAATCGTAGTGACATAAATCAACTTTATGTAATGACAGAGGAAAAAACAATATCACAAAATAAGATATCTAATATTGATGAGATAGATTTAGAAAATTTCACCCTAACTGATATGAATAAAATATTAGATACTAGATATTATGAATATTTAGGCAGAGGAGATACCCATTACGAGGCAGTGTCATTTTTAGATCAAGAATTTTCATATTGAATATGTAGATGATATCATAGAAGATAAAATATATCCTAGCGAGATATTAAGAATACCAAAACAATCCAACTTAGAAGATACTTTTTACATGAATACAAAAAGTACAGGAACTAGTAACCCACAACCAACTGTAGAAGATCCCGTAGAACCAATGCATTATGCAGTAGGAAGAAGAAGACCATTAGCTAGTTCAGGACGCAGTAAAGCAGATCCAAATAAAAGCCATAGATTTCATGAAAAACGTAGACAACCAGATATGAGTATACAATTACAGCCAGTTAATAATCAAGGAACCCTTTTAGATTTAACCAGATTCGACCCTCAGATATGGCAAGAAGTGATAGAAAAATGGGAAAAAGATGCGGTAAAGGTATGGATGAGTAATCCCTTTGAATCAACGGATATGTGGGAATATATGGAGACACTTTTAGGAGATTCAGCTTATAATATTTATTTAACTTTTAAAGGAAAATATGAAAAAACAATTAAACAGCTTAAAGAATTAGGAGATAACCCATGGAATTTTACTAGTTTTATAAAAGAAATACTTATAGGTTATGACCCTTCTAGAAGAAATGATTCCGCTCAAAGCATAGCATTAACTGAATTAGATCAAATAACGTTAGGAAGTTGAAAATATATTGTACCCTTTAGTAAAGAATACTTAGCCATAGCAGCTAGAACTGGAAAAAGTTTTGATGAAGAAATAGGAAATAAATATTTTAGAAAATTACTTAGAGAACTAGGAAGAGAGAGAAAATAAATGGTCAGTTTATTATGCAAGTTTACAAGCTAAAATAGCCTCAGGAGAAGTAAAAATAAGAGGAACTTTAGGAATAGGACCTAGAATAGTTTATACGTTTTTCAAGCTCAGAGAGAAAATGTATAGAGGTTAAAATACAGAAAGATTTGAAAAAACAAAATTATGATTTTTGTAGCAATATAATATATACTCCTCAGCAATATGAAGATAAATATAATAGGAAAAAATATAAAAAATATGGAAAATATAGAAAAGAAAAATATAAGAAGAAAAAATATAGAAAACTATGGAAAAAATAGAAATTTATTAGAAATAGTAGAACTTTTAATAGAATAAATTATAAGCAGCTACCCAAAGAAGAAAGAGATAAATAAAAACAAAGATATGTTAGAAAACCCAACAGTAAAAAATGTAATTATTTTATATGTGGAGAATCCAATCATTTTGCAAAAAATTGCCCAAAAAGACAAAGGCCTAATACTAATAAACAGATAGAAAGACTAAATATTATAGAAGACTTAGAAGAAGATATAGTTAGCATAAATAACGATGATTCAGAAGTCTATAGCATAATTAGTGATTATGAATATCAAATAGAAGTCATAAGTTCCGATAGTGATTCAGAGAGTGATACAGATGTAGATAATCTTCTAGGACAATTCAACCAAGAAATATGAATGACTCCTTCTCATGATACTTTCTTTACGATGGAATGTAATACAAATACTGAATGTCAGCATAATTTTCAAATAGGACTAGGATTTGATACCACTAGATGCAGGTATTGTAATTGGTTTTCAGCTAAAGATAAGCGAGTTCAGTGTTTATTATGCAGTATAATCTATTGTGTAGTTTGTCTAGAAAAATTAAAGATGACCCATAAGATAACATTAGAAAATAACAGAGAGGATCATAGTATAGAAAGAAGAGAATTATATTTAACAATTAGAGAACTAGAAATACAAATAAGAGAACTCAAATTACAAATACGAGAAATAGAAACTAAGACTAGTTTTGACATATAATGTTTAGAACTAGAAAATAGAGAGCTTAAACAACAGCTAGAACAATTTCACAACAAATACCCTTTAAAAGATAAACTTGTTGAAGAATATATGAATTCTTTAGAATTAGTCAACCTAGTTGATTCTCAACCCTTTAATTAATACTTTCAAGCACAGTCAGATAATAAATATTTACCATTTAATTATCCTGTTATACCCAAGTCAAATTTAGTTGAGATCTCTTGTGTAATTAAATTTGTAGAAAAAACCCTTAGTATAGATGCCATGATAGATACTGGAGCCAGTAAGTCATATATTGAACAACACATAGTTCCATCAGATGGAGCCCAGCTTTAACAACCTCAGCTTTAGTCAATATAGCCGATGGCACTAAACAGACCTATACACATTGCATTAATGGAGCACATATTAGTTTTCATCATCTAGGCTCTCAAGCTCAACATATAGAATGGTTCCCATTACCTCAAGTTTGGATTGGAAATACCCGACAAAATCATTATTTCATCTTAGGACTTAACTTCATACTTACAGGGAGGCATGTTTATCAGCCAGAATATCATTAATTTCTTTAAACGGGCTGTACATACACCCACAACATATGCCCTTAGCACTATCGTCCATTCATCATATATTAATTTATTATTATTATTTTTTAATTTGCATATATACATATATATATATATATATTTTTACTATCCATTCGGCCCAACCCCACAAAAGTGTCTCACTTCCATTTTCACACACAGTGAAAACCCGGCATGTGTTTTTTTTTTTCGTTTTGTTGCGAATCTTCTAATCCACTGACTCGCTGATGAGAAACCAAACTCGCAAAAATTCCCAGAGGTAACTTTTTCAATCTAGACAAGCTGGGTCTTTCACACATCTTTACATATTTCTAATTATATAGTAAGAGATTCTATGCGTATATTTTGGTTTTCAGGCAACCCATAAACCTACAGTCAAATGTTCAATTCTTGAGAATTCCATTGTTGAGAAAAATCCTAATTTGTGGGTTCAATTTGGTTTTGTTGTATGTTCAAAGCTTCATATACATTTTGCAAGAGAAGAAGTAGAGATATTGAGAGTTGAGATTGGTTATGTTATATGGTGCAACAAGTATGTGTATATATAAGGTGCTATGTTTAGGCTTAGGGTTTTGAAACTCCTTTTCTTGATGTTGGGGGTCAAACGGTTGTAACCATGGCTTCTCTGGCTTCCCTGGTGAGTTTGGGAAGTGCGGGTACGAGTTCATCTGGGAATTTCGAAAGATCATTTTCAATCGTTCAGAGAGTTTATTTTTCTAGAAATGTTCATAGTTTTCACGGAATTTTGGTTAAAAAGAGATGGGGGTATGTGGGGGTCTGTAGATATTCGGTAACAACCAATTATATAGCTGATCAAGGGACTTGTGCATTGCTTGATTCAACATTTAGGGGCAGGAAAGGTGATAATTCTAATATTGTTCTCAAGGCGGCTCCGAAGGCAGTATTGAAATCCGGGTCTAAAGCCAAATCCCCTTTAAACATTAACTCAGTGCCTTGGGACCCTTCAAAATTTAGTGGGGATTCTGATGATGATGAAGAGAGAAATAAGGTGATTGAGTCATTGGGAGAGGGATTAGAAAAGACAGAGAAATTAGAAACTAGTAAAAGAGTGAGTGTATCAGTTAGTAAACCATTGACAAATACAAGTACTGACCGAAGAAATGGAAAACAAGTTAACTCAATAGATGGTCGGAAGTCCAAGAATGCGAAGAGTGTGTGGAGGAGAGGGAATCCGGTGGTTAGCATAAAAAAAGATGTTAAGGAGTCTCCTAAAATTGAGAAGGTTCAGAAACGGGAATCAAGGGTAGAGGGAGTGGGTAAGGTTCAGTCTCAGGTTGTTTCTCCTCTAAGACCACCTCAACCACCGGAAAAGGTTCAACCAAAATTACAAGCAAAACACTTTGTAGCTCCACCACCTGTGGTCAAGAAACCTACTACTATCTTGAAAGATGTTGGGGTGTCTCCGAAGACAACAACAACTGATGGAGCTGATTCTGCTGAAAAAACGAAAGTTCACAAACCAATATTGGTTGACAAATTTGCATCAAAGAAGCCTGTTATTGATCATTTGATTGCTGAAGCAGTATTAGCACCTTCGAAACCTGGAAAAGGTATTGTCCCTGGAAAGTTTAAAGATGAGTTTCGGAAGAAAAGTGGTCCATCTGGTGGGCCACGGAGGCATATGGCTGATAATGTTGAGATTCATGATGAGGAGGCCTCAGAACTCGATGTTTCGATTCGGGGTGCTACCACAGCACGAAAGGGAAGGAAATGGAGTAAGGCAAGTCGGAAGGCAGCTAGACTCCAGGCTGCTAAAATTGCTGCTCCTATTAAAGTAGAAATTTTGGAGGTTGGTGAAAAAGGTATGTTGACTGAGGAGTTAGCCTACAATTTGGCTATCAGTGAAGGTGAAATTCTTGGGTATCTATACTCCAAGAAGGGGATAAAACCTGATGGGGTGCAAACGCTTGACAAAGACATGGTGAAGATGATTTGTAAAGAGTATGAGGTGGAAGTCATAGATGCTGCCCCCACTAGAGTGGAGGAAATGGCGAGAAAGAAGGAAATTATCGATGAAGATGACCTGAAAGGTCTGGAAGACAGGCCTCCCGTCCTTACTATAATGGGTCATGTGGACCATGGGAAGGTAAGGAAAAGCATGTCTTTGTTCACTTTCTTTTCTAGTCCATCTTTGTTCTTTTCCTTATTACTGCCCATTTTTCGAAAGCAAAAGATATTTATTGAATTTTCTGAAGCCAGCTTTGGCTAATTTCTTGTTGTTGTCAACTGGGCAGACAACGCTACTGGATTATATACGGAAGAGCAAGGTATATTCAGAAGCTTAATTGTCTTGATGTTTTATTTCAATTCATTGGCAACTGATGCCCGATTTTAGGGTTGCAAGAATATGGTCATGTTTGGTTTAATTAGAATATGTTTTAAATTTTTTTTTTTCTAGAAAACTAAAAATTGTTTTCGTGAAAAAATGAAAAAACTTAGGTAGTGTTTGGTAGAGCTTTCTAAATATGATCTGAGAATAGGAGTTGTATTTTGAGCTTGTGAGTTTTGGAATTATGATTTGAGTGTGGAAAATTTGTTTGGTGAATGAGTTTTGAAAAGAGTGGGAAATTTTTGATGTGACATATGATATTTGATACAAAAACTTACAACTCATAACTAAACACATAACTCAAAATTCTATTAAAGCTCATAATTTTTTTAAAAAAATCGGAAAATATTTTTTGTTGAATATATAATAATTAACATGTGTCAATTGTTAAAAAAAAATTTTTTTTTTTTTTTGCACTGTTCCGGTCAACCAGCCAGACGACCGGTTAGTCCAAATTTTACCGCGTTCGACCGAGTTTTCAAAAGTGAGCGCTGAATTAATTTTTGAAAGCTACAAACAAACACCACGTGAGAACCAATGATTGGAACTAAAGTTCCAAAACTCAAACAAACAAAGCCTTATCATTTTTATATAGTTTTTTTTTTAATCTTTTTGGAGGGTAGAAATAATTTTTAAAAATTCAAAAATATTTTTTTGACGTTTCTTTTTGTCAAACTAGTTTCTATTTAAAGAAAAAAAATTCATAAAATAATTTCAGAAAACCAAACTAAACATGGCCTATGTTTTTCTAGTTACTTTTCCCTTAGAACTTTATACTTCATTATGCTTTATGGTAGAGTGACTATCTATGAAGCATATCATGTTCCGATACCTACATCATATTCTAGGTTGGATTGGTATTCGAGGCATGCTCAATTCATCTGGAAATTACAATTCAAAGTTTAGCCTGACTGGTGGATTATTCAGGTAGCTGCCTCTGAAGCTGGTGGGATTACCCAAGGAATTGGGGCATATAGAGTGCTGGTACCTATTGATGGCAAGTTGGAACCATGTGTTTTTCTTGATACTCCTGGACATGAGGTAACTTCTTTCTCTGTTTGTTGTTCTAACTTTGGATTTCTTTGCCAGATATGTGTAGTTCTCTCTGTCTATCTTGTTGGATAGTTTGTGGATTTGTTTAATTCCTGTTTGAGCTTCTAGTTACCGTTTGGTTGTGGGATGTTTTGTTTTGTTTGTGAACAATAACTTGCTCATTTTGTCTTCCCATGGGCCTGTTTGGTGCAGCTTCTTGCAAGCTAAAAGTTGATAATCAGATACAGAAGCTAAAAACATCTTTCCTTGCTTCTCAATAATCGACTTTTTTAGCTTATTTAAGCTATTTGTGCCTCATAAGCAAAAGCTGCACCAAACACTAGAACAGATTTGTTAAAATTTACCATCACCTACCACCCATTTACCATCACCTACCACCACCTACTCCTCACCTACTACACTCACTCTCTCCTATATAATGAGCCACTCACCATTTGTAATATACACAACAATCAATATATCAATCAATAATACATCAATTATTACATGGTATCAAAGAAGGTTTAGAACCTAGTAGTTTCGCTTCTCCGGCGGGCGGCAACCTCACCTTAGCCGCCCGCCGGACCTCAACCTAATCTGCTTATTTTCTACACATACCTTCCCATCATTGTGTGTAGTTGCGTTTTTTTGTGGGTTTCCTTTTCTTTCTATAGACATCCCAAGCCTTTAGCTTCTGATGCTCTCATGATTCTCATCCTTTTGCAAGAGGTGATGAATATCTCCCATGGGACATCTCCAACCAGCATCCAATCACCATCTTTGTCTTCATATGTTGGTGCATATTCAGATCCATTGTACCCAATAGTGCACTTGAACATGAATTCCAGTAGTGTACTCTGTGTCTCTCCCCGTTTCCATTTCCTGAACTCAACGAGACCTCATATTCAAAATTCCAAAACTCGTCTGTGAAACAAGGATCGACAAACTCAAAACGACGACGTTAGACACCGCCGATGGTCTGAAAACCACCGACGAAGATCAAGTCACCTCAGTTTCCGGCGATGGCGATCGACGATCAGAAATCGTCGTCCGACGGTAAAATCTTGGGGTTGTTTAAGCTACTGTTTCGGCAATCGGTGAATTCGCATTCTACGACGTCGTCTTCGCCTTGATCCGAAGTCACATAAGTCCCATGTCTGAATCATGAAATGAAAACAAGCTCAGAGAGCTGCTGCAAGAGTTCCCTCACTTCGACTTCTCCGCATCACAAGATCATGTCTGAAATTCAGAAGCTTGCTTCCGAAATCATAAAAATTATTCCGATGAGTGGTCCCTGTTTTAGTTCCAGTCGGAATCAAGAAGCATTTCAGGAGGAAACATAGTAATAATAAGCAGTGGGTTTGTGAGAAGTGCTCCAAAGGCTATGCTGTTCCATCTGATCACAAACCCATCTCTCTCTTCTTCTCTTATTTCTTTATTTTTCCTTTTACTTCCTTTACCACCACTCACCCACCTATACTTTTTCTTTTTTATTCTTTTTCCACACTTCTGTTCTCACGATGCTCAAATTCTCCAATTTCTTTTTTTTAATATTTCAGCCTTTTCCTTCTTTATTTTTTTATTCTTCACCTCACCTGGCATGTCTCTTCATGATTTTTATTTTCTTTTATCATCATCACATGCATCCACCGCCCAAACCTTTTTTTTATTATAAAGCTTATTGGTGCACTCCTTGTTCCCCACTTTCGTTATTTTATATATATATATATATATATCTTTTTATTATATTATATTTTTTAAAAAAAAAAAAACATCATCATCTCTCCTCCGTCTGCTTTCCAACTCCATTATTTTTTATTTATTTTCTCCAAACCATTTTCCTTATTTTCCCATCTTTCATTTTTTATTTCAATTATATTTTTATTATTTCTTTCTTTATTTTTCTTTCACATTATTTTTAATCTTTTTCCACTTCCATTCATACCATATAGCTTTGCACACCAAACCATATTTTATTCATCTCAGGGATCCACCCCGATCACAATTTTACACACACACACACACAAAAAAAAAAACAACAACAAACCAAAACACAACACCAAAAGGTTTGTTTTCTTTTCTGCAGACGGCCACCCACCGACCTCACTTCTTCGCCTATTCCGCCGGTCTTTTCTTCTTGCCTCCGTCCTGGGCGGCCCTTGCCGGTATTGCCTCCGTGTTTCCCATGCCACCGAGCACATTCAATCCCCCCTGCTCCTCCACTGCCGCATATGGCGGCCCTCCAAATCGGAACATCACGGTGGCCTTCCGCTTCAGCTCCTTGTTTTCTGCCCTTAGCACGCTTATCTCTGCTCGCGCATCCTTATACATGCGTTGGAGCAGAGCCAGCTGGGAGTTTAAATGCTGCACCTCATTTGTCCTACTCTGCAGCCGGTTCGACAAATTTGTGACCGCCGTCATGCTTTCCACACATGCCTTCATACCTCACCATCTGTAATTTACACCATCTGTAATTTATACAATCAATCATACAAATCAATCAATCAATAATACATATATGTTTACATGGTATCAGAGCCATAAGATTTAGGCCTATACTCCTTTCTTTCCGGCGGGCAGCCGGCCGGCAACCTTGCCTTCGCTGCCCGCTGGAATTTTGTACACATACCTTCACTTTCCTGCCTCTTCCAACTTTCTTACAACTGTTGTCCCATAGATGGGCTTCATATCTACCAGTCCATCTATGCCTTGTGACACCTCTATACTGTGAAGTCCTCTGTCCAAATGTAAATGTTCGGGGGCCAAAACGCGCAGTTCGGGGTCCCGAAAATGGGCTGTTAAG